GAGAAGTAATTTGACAGGCAACTGCTTCAACACTACGGAATACCTCAAACCTTTATCAATCTCATTCAACAACTATATGAAGACTCCTCATGCCAAGTAATCCACAGTGGAAAGCTCAGTGATGCTTTTGAAGTGAAGACAGAAGTGAAACAAGGCTGTCTACTATCACCGATGATCTTCCTGATTGTGGTCGACTGAACTGGACTGGATCATGCAAGAAACTGTGAGGAGCGAGAAGATGGGTATACGCTGGCTGGACCGATGAAAAGACCCTAGAAGATTTGGATTTCGCTAATGATGATGAATTATGCCTAACTTCGCACAAACTCGAAGATCTACAGGTGAAAACCAACAAGTTGACAGAAGAGGCAGGGCAGCGAAGACGGGACTTCAAGTGAACGTAGAGAAGATAGAGGTGATGAAGATACCCAACCAACGACACCAACGAGCTCCAATCACCATCAACGGGAGAAGCCTAAAGGAAGTAGCCTCTTTCACCTTCACCTATCTGGTCAGTACTGTTTCAACCACAGGCGGCACAGACGAGGACGTCAAATCCTGGGTCGGGAAGACAGCAAGACAGGCTTTCATTAGTCTGAAACCAGTGTGGAGATCTTCTGCACTGCACTGCACTCAGCATGTGGAACAAGATCCGGATTTTCAACACCAATTTCAAGTCAGTTCTTCTGTATGGTTCAGAGACTTTGCGCGTTACGAAAGGGATTTCCAACAAACTACAAACATTCATGAACAACTGCCTACGCTGGTTCGTTACTGAAGCTCAGACGGCCAGAAAGAATAAGCAACAGAGAACCCTGGTCTGACAACAAACCAACCAAGAACCTATCGCCCAACAAATATACAGAGGAATGAAGTGAATATGGATTGGATTGGACATACACTGAGAAGACTATTCGGGGACATCACGTGCCAGGCCAGGCAGGCCCTCGAGTGGAACCCGAATGGGAAACGACGAGTTGGGCGTCCCAGCTGAGGGTGACATGGAGAAGATAGTGTGAGGAAGAAGTGAAAGCTTGTGGGCATTGTGGAGCCAGGTTAAGAAGACTGTAGAGGAGAGAGTGAAATGGCGACGTGTTACTGAAGCCGTATGTTCCACTAGGAACCCAAGGGACAAATAATAATAATAATGATAATAATAATAACAATGGGTATGACTTTTCGTCAATAACACATAGTTGATGAGTTCATTAATTATATCATTGCTAAGAGTCTCAAGAAATTTGATCCGAATTCGAAATGCACTTAGCAACCTTGTGCACCTTGCTGCGATAGACAACTCTCTTCACCTTTTCTGTGAAGGATGATGGCATTACCTGGCTGCTTAAACCTCGGTATCTGCAGTGAAACTTGAACCTACGACACTGGTTTAAAGTGAACCGCCTAAAACAATGAGCCATAGATTCATCCCGAAACCACTTTTTGCAGAGATTTAACATGATTTATTGTAGAAAAAGAGTTTATTATGACTCGGTGACTAAATATGGTTTACATACTAGCCCATACCTGTAACACAAAAACTGATAACATCATACTGTTGCCCACATTTCAGCAGAATGGACAGGATTTAAACTTATAATCTGAAGGTTAAAGATGAGGTGTGCAAACAAGCAGCCAAGCCAGTACTCATCGATGCTTCGAGTTTATAAAAAACTGAATATTTATGAGTAATATACTTGATATTAAGTATCCTAGCATACATAAACAAGAGATAATGTTAGAGTAACGAATTTTGTTATTGAGAAAAATATGAGTAATCAAGATAATGCTTTGAAAAGCACAGTTATTTTTAACGGTGATGTGTACCGTCTTTATGAATCATCACTTAGTATTGTTAGCACAACAGCAGTTCGTCCCCCTGTAGACGATATCAGACATTCTATATTCATCTTGATGAATAATGACGAAATCCTGGACATGCGATTCATCCTATTTGGGACTCGTCAGCTGGATATACCTGCACTCCAGTTAGTCATGTTGTTCCCACTGAGACTAGAACCCAGTACTCATTGCTTCAAACTCCAAAGCGTTATCCACTGCGGCATGACAGCCACCTCTTATGCAATGGGTGTCAGTTGTTGTTTTCTTACCAACGGATGCCGAGCAAGCATGAAAACAACAACTGATATCCATCGCATAAAAGGTGGTTCCTATGCCCCGGTGCCTAGTGGGTTACGCCTTGAAATCCGAAGTGGGTTCAAGTCTCAGTAGGAAAAAACCACTCACTGGTGTGCAGGTACATCCAGCTGACAGGTCCCAAATGTGACGAAATGTGCGTCGTAGATTCTACTATTATTCACCAAGATGAATATGTCATCATGAATATCTGGGATTATCGAAGCCCGTCTGCTAACAGAGGTTGAGCAATTCAACCCTGTATAGCAACGGGAAATAACAGGTGTCAAAACAATGAAGTCAGACATTTTCATCGTTAAGGATTTTGGTGGTAGGTAGGATAAAAGTGCATGAGGTCACCAGAGGAAATATACTGTTGAACAACCTGAGTAGTTAGAGACCACTTAGATTGATCTGTAGACTTCTGCCAGCCAGGTCATAGTGATCTAAATACTGGATGGCCTTTTCTACCGTCTGGAGCTGAGATCGTCAGCGGTGTACCCGGGCAATATCAGCCCATAAAGCTGACTTAGGGGGTGCAATTTGTAAATCATTTGCAAACTAATCATCTTCACTACAGACAATTTCAAATTTTGTCAGAAACTAATATAAAAGTTGTTTCTAGGCAACTCCAGAAAAGACTCTACATTCAAAACAATTAATTATAAATACTGATTGCATAAAAAACACTTAAAATCTTTGAATGAATAAGGCCTATGCAACGTTTAAGTTTCTCCTTCTCCTAGAGATCTGCAAGTGTACGCAAAAATGCCTATAATCAGTTTTAAGGGCGGTGGCAATTTTATACTGAACAATTTTTACAGTATTTCAGATGACGCTTGTCAAGGTTTGATCGAATAATTTTATAATTGTTAAGTGTCAAGTAATACGTGGAAATTCAAAGCTTAATGTTTGGGGTGAAACAGATTTCACATTTTGCTCCTCAAGACATACTGCTGACTGACATAAGTGGTTGTAAACTCCAGATGCCATTTGTCAGCGCTCCCTAGTCAGATCTAGGTGATCTAAACACCAGAGTACAATTTCGCTTGTTTGAGACCCAGCTCATGAGCAGTGCATATAAATTGATTCAGCTTAGAAACCCGAATTATTCAAACCACCTGAACCCTAGTTAACTACTTAGCAGACTGGCCACAAACTGCTGATACGTGTGTGGGGTCTACGATAACTCATTCTAGTCAGTAGTATATTTTTTACAGCTTTCATGCTCACATCTTTGACGCTAATTTTAGTATCAGGCAGATCACATTATGGTATTCAACTATTTTGGTTTCCATAGGAAATTACAGTGAAATAACTCATCATGGACTGTATATTTTGTAAGCACCTGATTTGATTAAGCTACTCAGTTTCTTAAAAAATTTTTTCATGAAAATAATCAAAAGAGTATTGTGGAAGACAAAATATACATGTCAAGGATATGCATAAGTATGAAAATGTATGAGACCCTTACACAAAACAAGTATCTTTTCAAGATGTGACAAGTGAACGAAACTAACCGTATTATTATATCATCTTGAATGCTTAGATTCCAACTAACACTAATTTACCTTGTTTTCAGTGAGTATGACATTCTAAGCCTTACTAGTTTCATAGGCTTATAAGTATATACTGAACCTTTTCTTAACTACTGAAGAGTATAATGTACTTATAATGTACTTATAACCTAGCAAAGAAGCTATCATTAAATCCTCCTTGCAATGAAGTATTCAGGTGTTAACTAATGTCAATTAAAGAGCAGTTAAGATTCTATCTAGAATTGGTGCGACTTTTTAATTCTACTTTAGAAGGGCATTATTGTTCGTTGCCATAAAGCTGTAATCTAAGACGATTAGAAAAGAATCAAATCATTAAAAATGTTTAAATAACCCAACTAATTCAGGCTTCATGCATCTTTAATGGTATATTCCTTTTAAGACTTCAAGCTATTGGGTTATATTTTTGCATCGATTAAGAAGTTTCAGATTTCGGTGGGTTCAGTAACTATGACTTTCAAAATTTTAATGTTTCTGAACTTGAAATTTATTCACTAACTTCAAGCTGCAGTTTCAGTGATTTCAATTTTATAATTACATGTATGTATTAATGATGGATAGTGACCAGGAATGGAATTGTTTCATCCTATTTGGGACTCATCAGCTGGATATGCCTCCTTCGTAACGAGAGATATTGTTCCCACCAAGATTCGGACCCAGGATCAACCCTTTTAAATGCCGGATCATTACCCTATAAGCCACTGCTTGTGTGAATGGTATAGCATGGTTTTGATTTAAAGCCTGTAATTTCCTGCTGTTGATTAGATCTAACTTATCGACCACTTTTAACATATAGGCTTCTGTGAGGATGTCTCCATATTTTCGATATTTTCAGTTCTCATGTTAGTGATCGATAGTGGCTAGCAGTAGAATCCGGGGGACGCGTTTCGTTTTATTTTGGACTGGTAAGCTGAATATAATTTCCTCCTACACAGCATTATTGTTCCCACTAAAACTCTAACCCAAGACCATTGTTAGCCACTATGCGTTATTAACATCAAAACTGAAAATACCAGTAATATCGAGGCCATATACTAATAGTGGCCAGTCAGTTTGGTTCAGTCAACGATGGATACTTACAAGCTAGACCATCAGAAACCATATGTATGGTTTTCTTGAGCTTCAAGCAATCAGTGTTTGTAATTAGTATATCCAACCAGCGAAACTATAAAGTTGACGTTTTCTTCCTCGTAAAATATTGTTTCTATTATTTCAAGTAAAAATTTTCAGTTAAAATTCATCAGATCAAAAAATGATATAATTTACTGATCTTTTCTCTGTATTTATCTCTGTATATCAATCTCTAAACAGAATCGGATCCAAGATATTCAAGTGAGTAAAGTAAATTTCATTTTCATTTGTACCACGCTGTCTATTTGTTCTTGTTCAATGGTCTCAATAGGATATTTTTATATTTTATTCCGTTTATTAACAAAATAAATTGAAAAGCAACTTCGTTATATTTTTGATATTGGATAATGGTTGGACATATGAAGTTTACTCATCTTTCAGAGAAAGCGGTCATGTGTAAATAATTTACGGGATTGTATTTTATCAAGCGTAATTTCACGAATTATTTGTACATGGGATGTGATTGGCTGATGTGTATAGGAGTTACGTAAATTGCCACCGGAAATAACTACATATATATAAGGTAGTATTCATCACGGACTGACATCAGTTGGGGAACCATTGATAACCTGGGAGCACTGCTCACTGGTGACATGCTTCCAGATGAATATCACGAAGTTCTAATGAAAAGTCGTGACCTGTGGGGTCAATCAATCGGAAGAGAAGCCTGTGCCAACTGAAAACCCGGGGTGATAGTAGCTCTATATGGTGAGTTGATAGAAGTTAGAAACTGTGAACCATTGAACTCCGACCCAGTGGCTGAATGGTCAACCCGTTCACCGCTGCACATCTACTTTTAACGGCCATGTCCTACAGATGTATAATAGGACAGAACGGATGAAACAACTTCCGATGATAAAACTATACTCCTTATACACTGATTTTATGCTTATACTTGTAATCATGAACAGTTCAAGGAAAATGAAAGATAATTTATCCTTGTCATAATTTCACTTTGATGAGACTAAAGTTACTTATCAATAATTAAAAGATGAGTTTTTAATTTGATAAAAAAGAAGACTTATCTTCTTTTTCAGCACAGTTTAGCCACTGAGTTGATAATTGTGTTTCCTCTGTTTCTCAATTTGTCTGTGTAACTGTTTTTCACATCACTTAGTATATCTTCGAAAGTAAGCAGGTTTATTGGTGGATAGGTAGATACACGTCAATTAAAACAACTTAAAAACAATTATTGACAGTACATTTTGGTAACTTTTACCATTGCCAGCGTCATCGATGAACTGATCACTTTTAGATGAAATCAAAACTAACTTAGACAGTAGTGTTATTGCTTGTATTATACCGTCGTTGATTGGACCGGATTGATCAGTCTCTATTGGCATATGGGCTCCTATGCGGATGCCTCGATATATCTATGTAGTTCTGGTTCTAGTGAAAATAGATAGTGGCTGGCAGTGGAATCCCACATCATCACTCACTTGGAGCCAGGTACATCCAGCTGACGAGTCCCAAATACGACGAAGTAAGCATTCTGGATTCCACTGCCAGCCACTATCCATCTTTACTATAACTTAGACGCTTAATTTCTGTCATTCATTCTGAAGGAAAGCTGAAACGATCACAATTAGCATATGTCATCGGGTGGTGGTTAGTGTTTTTAGTATAAGGTTTAGCGAGCACCACTTAAACAGTTATCGGTTTCAATTTTTACTGGTTTTAATCTTGATTTGGGGAAAACACTCCTAAATTTCAGCTGAAGATGATTCTGATTTGAAAGAAACCGATATTAGGTGACAAAGTTTTATATTTATGAAATCCATGGTAATCAATTAGTTTTGAATCACATGGAATACACATGTATAGTGTGATTGAATTGACCAATAGTTTCCCTATTTTTAAGACAATGTTAGTGTTATATTTTGAGGGAGGTTTTCTGAGTTAAAAAATCACGATCAAAACTAACTTTTCTACTGCAAGCTATCATGAGATTTATGTTTAGTAATGGATGTAAGATATTGTCACTTCACGTTGTTCTTCACTTATGATTGTTTCATTTGACGAGAAATGACGAAAATTCTCGAATTGAAACTAGCTCGGTTAGCGTAGATTTTAAAACTCTGAGATCAACAATGATTTGATATATGACAGGTGCTAGGAAACAACAAGCCTGAGCAAGCTGATCATGTTTCAAAGTTGAGAGAATCTATGTCCGTTGGATAGGCAGACAGACAGACAAAATCAGCATAGAACGTCGCACACAAGTGCATAAGTTCGAATTGCCAAACTTCATAGCAGTATGCAAACAGCAGCTGAATAGGAAATACTGATAAAGTAGACAAAAGTGTATAGGAGGAGAAGAATTTTAAAAAATTAGGGATATTCAAAATATTCGAGCTTTAGAAGACATCAAATGCTGAATAACTCTCCACCACTGTGACCGATTTTCAACCATTTCACCAACTCCTCAACCACTGATTCCTTTCGTCTCAGGGACCCCAACCAGTTGGTCTACATCCTCCCTACACAATTCGAACCAACAGTTAGAGGGTTCATAGATTGGTCTCACGTTTTTATCTGGCCACCCTGAGCCTTTTTCTAACCTAATCAAACTTCTAGTATGCCTCGTCGAGGTAGGTCGTGGTTCGGCATGTACTGAACATGTTCTAGCCACCTCAATCGGTGAGTGTTCACAACCTCATCGATCGACTTGTCTTCTTTTCGCCTGACCTCACCACCGCTCCCATGGGGATTCCACCATACCTGAGAAGTGTGACTACACTTGAACACACTATGCAACGCTTCATATCACCACAGATACTTATATGAAGTTATCGTTCAAACACTCATCTATGAGGTGCTTTGGCGATTTCTATGACTAAACACTAGCATCGAATCCATCAAATAGCTTAAGGCTGTATTCTGGTAGTAGTAATGTAGTAAGAGTTACTTAAAAGTGATTGTTTTAACTTATTCTAATCATAGATGTTTTTCAAAAATCTATATTCCCGCTGTTTCTACTTGCAATTTCTTCTTGAAAATTCGTTTGCCATGTAAAGTTTGCTATGTCTAACTTTCAGAGGATTAATTTCCTATTCTTTCAAAAAAACTTTTCAAGGTCAATAGCGGCTAAAGTAAACCATTATTATCCGCTATAACTGAATGAAGTTCCTATATAATTTGCCTGCTTTTGGACATACAAAGTGAAGTAGTTAAGTTTGTTGTTTTCTTCACTGTATACAGGCATCAATTTATACTACATCCCTGATAGCATCAATCGGCCCCTTAATACTTAGTGTTACAGACACAAAAGACAGTATCAACATAAGATCTGGTTTTACTGCGTAACACTTCAAGTTGCCCCTTCTCATTTCAATATATCAAGCGAGGATGCATCAAGATGAAAAATAAATGAGTAAGGAGAGAAAGTAATCAAAAGTGGTAGTAAGTCGTGACAAGAGAACAGAGAGGGACAAGAAAATACCGAAGTCCAGCATCATGAATAAGATGAAGTTTCAGATATTATTATGAACTACTATCTATTTATGTTTTTTCTCTTATACACTTTGTCTGGTTTATTGTCTTTCTTTTTTATCCACTTCTTCTTTGTACGCTGCTGGGAAGTATAAGAGACCTGAATTAATCTGCTCTTGTACCAGATTTTATGTCAATCTCGTTATGTCTGAAAGCGCTTGTCTAGTCAAAAGACCAACTGATTAGAATGATACCATAGCCTAAATTCTTTTTCAACATTAATCAACATTCGTGTATACTAAGGCTTGTCTATCTGGCTATTAGTAGGACTCTCTCAAGTGGTTAAATTAAAAACAGTAACAAAATATAATTGAAAAATAATCTTCCTAATATTTGACTGAAGAAAAGGGTAGAGTCTGATTTGGGTGAACTTGGGATAAACTCTTAATATTCGGTTTGAAATTTCTCCAAATACCTAATAAATACTCCGAGGAGTAAAATATTTCACATAAAAAAGGAATAGATAATTCATTTAACAAAATCTTCATTTTTGATGGCACCATCTAAAGATGTGCAATGGCATTTTTATGTATGACAAACATCTAGCAGTCCATTATTGATGTGAAATGAGATGGCTCAGTGTCCACTTCATAGATGTAAAGAAGGTGAAGAACGTAACAAGCATTATAACAGAGGTGACAATAATAAACTGATCAATCATAATGTGATGAAAAAGGTTAAGGACGAAAAAATGAGAAGAGGTTAAAACCATGACAAGATAAGAGACTGAATATTCTTCTCCTACACACAGAGTTCAAGCTTGGATTGAATTGCCGATGCTTCTGCCATGCATAGCTTCCGGAAGTGCACTTTTTTGGAACTGTCCTCTTTAACTGTGTAGATGACAGTGAAGAAGGTCTCTGGTGGAGCTATAAGTCTTGAGTTTTTCATATATTCCAGGATAGAATTGGTTATTGATTTGTATTCTCTCCTCGATAGGTATGTAGGATAGTGGTTGGAGATATGTTTGGAAAGTGGCTGCTTTTTGTGGCCTATGTAATTAGCTCCAAAGGAGCAAGTAAATTTGCAGACACAAGCTGAAGTGATCCAAAGTAGCTCCATACCCTTAGGAAACTCCGGAAACACTTACCTATTACTAAAGCTGATCTAAAAATTGGTAAAGAAAAGTGTGCACAGTGATTTGGGTAGCGGAGTTTTAAAGATCACTGTTACTGTATCCTTTCCGGAATTCATATTCATATCTGAATTCTTCTTCATAACTGAGAGGACGTGCTCTATATTCTCTTCAGATTCCAAGCTTTTGTTAATAGATCTAGATAGATATCCATTTTTTACGGGAACTTGTCAGTTTTTCCAACTCGCAGTCGTTGATGTCATTCATGAAGATTCTTCTGATCCTTGATCACAGAAAATGAATCAGATTTCTCTTTCTGCTGAGTAGTGTCCAGCTATGAAAATTCATATTTTGTCCATTCTGTTTCGGCTTCCTGACTTAATGAGTCCCCTTCAATGTAATTTGAAAACATTGCAAGCTCTTCATATGGTTAAATGTCCTGTCTAAAACTTGTTATGCAATCAAAGTTATATAGCACCTAAAATATCCACCTCAATAAAGGCTCACTGAAAATTATTAGGTGTGGGTTCTAAAGAACAAGATAACTTCCTTTTCCCAGAAAATGAAGAATTTCGGAAATTATAACATTCGCATATGTTTAGAAATTTTCTACAGGTATTTTTATTTTGAACTTTAACGAATTCAACTATCTGAAGCTCTAAATAAGTTTAGAAGTCGACAGTTTTGAAGCAGTTGACAAGAGACTCTTGACTTTGGTTTTTTGCTTCAAAATCACTAGCGTATTTTTAAGAGAAATGACACTCCCTCAAATTTTAACGTGTCACGCTGTGCTACGGTCAAAGAAGTTGCCTTTAAGCTCTTCAGGTCACAACAGGACCATCAAGTAACTAAGAAAAGGCATATTGTTCAGAAAAACTTACTCAACGTTAATTAATAGATAGCGTGACATTAGTTTCTTGTTGATCAGTGTTAAGTGTGACAGACGATAGTACCGCAACATCAGAATATGCCACATAATTACAGAAGCTGAATGGGTCCATTGGGCTGCAGATCAGTGTCGTGTTGCAGGTAATTTCTTCATATTACGATCAGTTTTTCGTTGAACTACTCTCTTTTCTGATTCTTTTGTTAGGAGTATGTTAGTATGCACACATACCTAATTTATAATTTCCATTTATTTAGATATGCCTATCCAGTATCTAATATTGCATTTCTCAAACTTAAGTGCTTACCATTTTCCGAAGCGGTATCAAAGCTATCTGAGTGAGGCTACTATTAACTCAAAAATGCAACTGTTAAATCTTGCTATCAGACATAAAAATGCTGACAGTTGTATTGCTTGTTCTTGTTTAAAAACTGACACCGTTCGGTTTTCTCTCATCGCGGCTTAGATGGGCTGGAATATTTCTGTTTACCTGATTCTTGTTAAAAAGATGTATTATTTGAGTGTGAAAAGTGACTTCTTGACTACATAACATTTGTTTTGGAATTTATTCAGACTATGCATTTACCTAACCAATTAAATGAGACACTTTAATCAGAATATATAAAGCCATTTTAGAAATCTTATTCACAAGCTCGAACACCTCTTCAAACTAGGTTTAAGCGTGAGTGTTTTTTTACTATTTGTCATACAATCGATGTAATTCATTACTCAGTACACGATGCTTAGATTTCTTATTATTATCTGTGCTTAACTCTTTTGCTCTGTTTTAATGACCACGTGCCAGGATGAGTTTCTTTCCTTTTTTTTACACGATAGATGTTGAATAACTTACGGTTTAGTAAATCCTTCCTAGATGAAGTTTCTAAATGTTATTTTACTGTGTTCGAACTATGATATTTTCAAAAGTGCGCTTCATTTCTCTTCCCAATAATCAGACCCAGAGTAATTATGATCTTCCTTTTTTTACTACCATAAACACTGGAATTTTAGGTCTCACAGTATGTAAACGTAAAGAACCTGAGCATATCAAACCTTCAGAAAGTCGTCAGCCTAAGAAACCACGTCTGGTTTTCACCGATATACAAAGAAGAACACTACACGCCATTTTTAAAGAAACTAAACGTCCTAGTAAAGAAATGCAGGTAAACCGGTTGTCATATTAACATAAGTTGTTAATATTTTCTATAATTTAATTTAATTTGTTTTCATGATATTTAGTTCAGCAAACAGTCGGTTACCGATATTTAAAATAAGTTCCAGTTCAAAGGAAGATTTTCCAGTAGGAGTCCAATTTTCAGTTGACTTCCCGTAAAATATCATAGTAGTTTTATCTTGAAAGTGCCAATAATATCGATAAGTTCGACTTTTAAAATGTGGTTACTTCAGAAAACACTTTCCTGTTATAGCACAGCTCTCCACAAAAAGAACACACTGTAAAATTTTTTGTCACGTTTTAGTTTGAATATCCTACTACGTTTTACACTGTACTACGATGATAACAATATTTATCTAACCTAAATATTTCAAACACATTTAATTCCTTGAAATTTTAACTTCAGTAAATACATTGGGTAGCAGTCAAGTAAATAGTCAGGAAATTTGCCTATTTAAAGCATATTTTTAGTAAATATACGCAAGCTTCAGTATTTCTGCGATTTTATTTAATGACATCTTGAACACACTTCTGACGTGTTTGCCTTCATAGTAGCGAAAATATTCCATTGCGCTTAAATTATCATAATCTAATCAGTGATTCGTACAGTTTCTGTCAAGCCTCTACTGGTCATATGACAACATTTTCGTGAGTTATATCCAAGACTCCCTGAACAATTTATTATATGGTATTTTTCCTGCAATCGTAGGAATCGGATCGATTCCAAACCAGTATATTTTAATTGCAGTTTAAAGAATCCCAAGACAGAAAGACTTTCGTGTACTGTAGTGTTAAGCTTTATAGCAAACTATATTTTATGCCTAGTTTTGGAAATAATTATCTAAGAGTATGGTGAGCGTATTTCAGTTTGTTTACAAATTGCACATTCCATGTTAACATTTCTTCTAGTTGAATAGATTTTTTGGAGGCCGAATGTCGTGTCAAAAGGGGACCGTAGGAAACAGTCCTTCAGTCAAGAACATGAGATGTGATCTCTGACACGAAAGCCTCATGAACTAATGAAATATACTACTTGGGTAATTAAAAACCAATCAGTCTGATCTGTGGACTTCGCCAGGTAGACCAAAGTGATACAGATTTCGCTAGTTAATGACAATTGTGTAAGAGATCATACCTTGCGAAAATGGACGTTCATCAAGTCTGGACTTTTGATAAATGACTTTTTTCCCTGTCAAAGAATATATTGCATGTGCAGTTTGACAAGTTAGGTGGTTCACTTGGTGAAATTACAAGTAGAATGGTTTTAGAGTCTCCTAAAAGATCAATTCATCAGAGCAACCTCCTGAGTATTGTTCTCCAATAGCCAAAATTTTCTAACAAACTGGAAGACAATATTGCTTATGTGACCAACTCTAAAAGTATTTAGCAGTCCCCCTACCCTTGTGAAACTAGGCACACCGGACGTTTGATGAGTTTAGTACTCAGAATGATTGAAGAATGCCTTGTCAATTCGTTTAAGAGATCTGTCAAGGGATGTACTAGTAGTTCTGATAACTGAATGCATTATGGATGCTAGTTATTGAAATGTTGTCTACATAAGAGATAGGTTGATGAATATCGATTTCACTTTTTATATTTATTCTCATGACCTACTCATTCTAACTGATACTATTACTTAGTTAAAACAAATGTCCAAATAACAGAGAATTTGGTGTAGAAATAGAGAATTTTAAGTTGCCCTACTTCACATCATTGCATATGGCATGCACAGTAGAAGTGGAAAGATATAACCATAATCACAAACGATATAAGAGAAGAGAACAAATAAACAAAGAATCACTAAAAATAATTACTGTTTTGAAAGTGACAATTTGACTACATCTGCGTTATTGTGGCTTTTTATCCATGTCAAGCGTCCATGGCCATTACTTCCCAATATCTTCAAGGATCCAAAGCAAGCAAACTTCCATTTCCAACACAACTTAAACTGACGGTTGGAGACTTCATTTATTGTTATTATGTACTAATCTCACTGTCTTCAGTCAGTCAGTCAATGTCAAGAAAGGATTTAGCAGTACTTGGCTTTATCAACTTTATCTTTTCTTAGCTAAAATACAGCTTTTTAGAGAGACATTGACTGGGCACGTAGGACAGATGTTTCAACCATCTCAGTTACTGAAGTTTCACAACTTCATGGGCTGATTTGTCTTCACTGGCTAGAATTCAACATTATTCAGCCTCTGTTTCTCATGAAAAAAATAAGTGAAATTGCAAATATGTATATTTAGCTGTTCTGCTCAAAATGAGTAATTCACTTAATACCCCTGAGAAACCGTTATTTTTAAGTTGGTACTTAGTTTCAAAACAAGTCATGATCCATAGATCAGTCAAAATTTTAGCTTAATAAAACTGAAATTTGGTTTTACAAGGTAATATAATTGGAGTTAAATAGATAATTCAATCAACAATTCAATCGATGAACCAAATAATTGGAAATCAACCTAGCCCTGACTGATAATAACCGTAAGTCAAATGTTTGAAAGAAAAATAGTGATTATGAAGTCAGTTCATGGTTATTTCTTAGACAAGGAAAACAAATAGTGATTCTGCCTTTTATTTCGAATAAAGAGCAAATAAAAGCGAATAATACGTGTACTCGGAAAAAGAAAAACTATAATGATGGCTAGTCTGCAACATATACTAAACGAAAAACATTTAAAATCATTCATTATTCATAAAATGAAGGTGAGAAATTTTTATCGCTTTAAAAGCAAAAATCAACAACTGAAGACCGAAAAACACAACAATGTTGACATCATTACAAGCATAAGAAAACTTAGGGAAGAATAGGAGGCAATACCAAAATATGTAAGAAGTGATGATGATGATGGTAATAATAATAATAACAATAATGATAATAACGCTATTCGTGGGAATATATCTTTGAACAATGCACCTGGCTCACGCAAGTTAAGACCATACTCTTGAAAATCAAGTTGCCTCTTTGAATTTTTCTCTCACTATCCAGTCTTCATCCATTCAGTTATTCATATTTTCTAGTCTTCATTCTTGTTGGGTTATTTTAAATGAGACAGTTTTTTGATGTACGTTGATATGCACGACTTCAAGAGTTTATTTATAAGTAGTATGTACGCACAGATGTATTTCGCAATTTATTCAACACATACGCACGGCTAACAGTCTACATTGTTATTGTGTGATTATATTTCTGACCAAATATGCTGTGAGCGTAAAAAACAGCCATCATGATGATAACCGTGTCGTTCTGTTGATAGTGTTGTTGTTTTTGGTTAGGGCAAGGAAACAGGATAACACTATATGGCAAAAATAAGGTTTTTGAATTGTCTTACTATATTTATTGGAATTTTTTTTCGGAAATGATCTGATATGGTCAGAATAATATGAATTCAATGCCGTAGATATAATTCTTCTGAGTAGTGACTCCTTTTTGTTGTTATTTCATAGTGAAGTTTCACATTCTGAGGAGTTTGAATAATTTTTCCGAATTACTTTTAGTGTTACTCTAACAACTGCTGAAGTAGCATAACGGGTTTCTTTATCTTACAAAAAACCCTTTTAGCAGAAATAAGGAGAACTGATTGACTGTTCCAGTGGTCGCTACGATAGCCTTTCTAGTCATTCATTTATACTAAGTATTAAATTGTAATTCTGATCCAGTAGGAGTGACTTTAAGGGTCACACTAACAACCACTGAAGCAACCGATCAAGTTTCTTTATTTTGGCTGAAAAGTAGACATTTTCGAAGTAGAGAAACTTAGGAGTGACTTTACGGGTCAACCTATTAAAGACTAAAAGAGCTAGTTAGTTTTCATTATCTTGACTGGAAAAGCAGATTTTCATAAAATAAATAAGTTCAACTGATTATTTCGCTTTTTGTCGGGGTGGCCTTTACAGTCTCTCACTTGGTTGGTTGCCTGTGTGACCCTTAAAGTTGATTGACTATAAAGACTGCTCTTGTAACTAGTATAGTAGCAGAATTATGCGAAGACAACTGAGCGTTTAAACACAGTTCAGTTCTTGTTCGAATATCAATCTTATGATTATGATTTGTGCTCATAAGCGTGATTATAGTTATCATTTTGGTGAACGGTAATCATGTCACATCTCACAAACTCCTGTCTGTCTGGGATAAAACTCATTGCTTTGTTTGTTTCCTATGGTAAAAAATTCTTTTATAGACCTTTTGAAGTAGGCAAAATTTAATGTACAGAAGAAGAATGTCATGAGATTGATCTCATATTCTAAAGTAATCTCCGAAATCCAGTATATCAAGGAAAAGACTGGAAACTAGTGAAAATACTCAAGTCTGTTATCACTAGACGGAATAATATGGTTTAACTAGAATCAATATTTAGTCAAAGAAACTTCACTTTACTTGACCGTCAACTGGTTTATCGAGTGTGATACAAAGAACTTTGAAGGATAGAAGTTAAAGTTATAGAAACCGAAAAGATCACCAGATAGTTCTTTCCTTCAATAAATTTAAATGAGGTATTCAGAAGATCAATGTTATGAAAAGGTTTCCATAGAACCACACGCCAACTAACATGTTTTACAAAAATAAGCAACTTCGATTCGTGGTTTGTGGTGATTGACTGGATTCAGATAAGCAGTAATAGAAGTAGTCAGCCGAAGAACCACTGAAAGCTTAGGAGTGCTAGGTAGCTATCCCACACTAGTTTCGGACTTTTCTGTAGAGCACACCTACAATCCTGCAAGGAATGGAGAACACAATTGTTAGGTGTATCAACAGACACGTTCCCATTTAGCCACTAAGTTTGAATCGAGTGGTCCATATTTTCCTTATTCCTTCGTTTCACGATATGGTGTAACCACTATCTAGTGCTACTGCCAGGTATTTGTTTTCACGGTTGGCCTTTAATATTTCCATCCCCCCTCCCAAGTGCACTTTTCCATCAGATGTTATAGTCCAAGTAACTTTCTAAATTTTGTAACTGAAACAAATATAATAATGATATTTTATTTGGTTACTATCCATTTTTATAGTCAACAATAGCTCAACAACTTGGATTAGAAATTTCAACAGTGGCAAATTTTTTCATGAATGCACGTCGTCGGTCACTGGATAAATGGCAAGAAGATACAAGCAAGGCATCCAGTACAGCTAATTCTCCACCGGATTCTCCGTATAGTCGTAATGCACAAGGTCAGCAATCAAGTAACAACAATAATTTATGTTGTTCTAAGGATGGAGACATTGGTAGTTGCACTTCATATTCTCCACAGTCTAGACATCAACCTGGACATTCAGTGCCGATATCTACTCCCGTATCAATGTTAAAAGCACCCAACAGTAACTTTAATCCAGAAAATTGTATTGATTTAGAGCGAATAACCCGTTGTAATGGTATGGTTGTTTGTAGCAGTTTTGCAAAACCTGTTAATCAACAATTAAATTCTAATCTTGTGAGAACAGTGTTCAATAATACTAATAACGGTAATAACAATGGTTTATTTACAACTATCCAAAGATGTGGTAATCTTGGAAATAGTTTGAATCAAACAGGCAATCATGTGTTTAGTTCCGTTGACAGTCTTTCAATTATTCCAAGTATTGTTTATACACCACAAAACCCAGTTCCTAGACAACATCAACAACAAATTGGTGCACAAAACTTACCAAATAATTATTCAATACAGTTAACATCACAAATCCAACATCCTTCTCACCATCATGCTCATCTTCATAATCAACATCAGCATCATCTACATAGTCCATCACATTCTGTCAATACACAATCAGCACCGATGACAGCGTTCTCATCGTCATCAAATCAGTTGACATATCCTATGGATATGTTACACAGGAGTGAAAATCATGGACAGACTCATTTAACTGAAAATTTTAGTATAAATGGTAATAGTCATAATAACAGTATAATGAATAATGGTAGTATGCATGGGTCAATTTATCCATACAGTAATTCTCATAGTAATTATACATTCCCTGTCTCAGGAAATTTACAGTCATATAGTTCACACTTGAATCTACTTCATCCTGGCAGTAATAGTAATGACAATAATAATATTAATGCTAACAGGAATTTCAGTATGAATTTACCTAATATGAATGGAGCAACTACATTAAGAAATCGTTTTCTAATGCATGATTTAACTGGTAGTTCACAGTTTGACCACCGTTTCTTGAGTACAATGACTAACGGACAAAGAGTATTAACTGAACAAGCATTAGAATTGTGTTCTTCATTAGCTGCAGCTAATGCTATCTCACTTAACGGTAATACTAATACTAATCAGATAATCAATGAAAAGATAAATCACTATCATTCTAATTCAGAAATTAAAATTACACATGGAGTGAATGAATCAATTGATATAAACAATATCGTATACAACAGAGGTATTCACTCGAACAATAATGATGAGGATGGGGATGAGGATAATGATGGTGATGGTGATGAAAACATCAATCCATTGGCGAACAATGCCAATAATAGTAATAACAATGAAAATAATGACAGCAATCAGTACCAGCATCAGCAACAATTGGATTTAATGAATAAAACGAATTTATCATTAGACGAATGTAATCAACTTTGCTTACAGGCATCAAATCAGTTAACAAAACATAATTATTTTGTAACAAATGAATTTCTTGATCAGATTAAACAAGTAAATGAACAAAAACTATTAAAAAATGAAAAAGTTGAAGATGATAGAAATATGAGAGATAATAATCTTGAAGGTACTGAAGATATGGACAACTTTGATGATAGTGATGATGATGAATTTATTGAAGAAGTTGTTGGTATTCATGGTGAGGATGATGAAGGTGGTGATTTCGAGGATGGCGATGATGATGGTGCTAATGAAGTTGACAGACAAGCAGACGAATCGGTCAGACATAGGTTAAACTCAGATTCAGATGAATAATTCACTTTCATAATCACTAATAGGTATCAAGAAATATACGTGGAGAGGAAACCCTTTTATAATTTATTTTTTTTGCGAATATAAAAATATTAGCGGTATAGTCTTAGTCTAAAGACGAAAACTGATCTAGACTTCATACTGACAGATATGTGAGTAAAAAGTAAGTCATTTCGGTTGGTAGTGTTACGCAATATTGTCAGTATTCCAATCCTGTGTGTATTCTCCCCCGATTATTTGACTAACCTTGCTTAATTAATTAATTAATTATTCAAGTGTTTTGACGTTTATGCATTCAGTGTTTCCTGTTTAATTGTTGTGTGAAGTTTTTCAAGGTCAATTTGTTAAGTTCTTTTTTCACCACTCTCTCTATGTTTACTTTTGTATTTGTCCATACTTAGATGGCGTTTTTCTCCTTTCACTATGCTCATTCTTATTCCCCTCTGTAATTTATCATTCATAGCACTTCATTATAGGTAGCTACAGTTTCTATGGTAATTTTTCTTCTTGTGAAATGTTATCCATTTTCACACAGCTAAATAAAGTGGTAGAAAGATGAAGAAAGAAGTGCATTCAACAGGGAAAAAAGTGTTCACTAGTCTTTCACAAATAGAACTGCATTCACAGTCACATATATGGTTATTGAGTACTGAGTATTGAAAATCAGTGTTCTACATGCCCTCTTCAACTTACCCATTTAATCATTGAACCATGCATATGCATACACAAACGTGTATATGTGTACATGGGCTATTGTTATTATTTGTATTAATTTCGTATTTCATAACCTTGCATTGTTTGTTGTCGATGACTGAACTGCTTGAAAAAAAGAAGTACAGTGCATCTGTACAGTATGTTTCCTTTCCCTACTTCCTTCCTTTCTTTTTCTCCCCATTTTCTTCCTATTCTATAGCTTCACACATTATTATTCTTAAATAAGCCATACTTCCTAAGACTGAATAGTCGCTGAAATAATAAATATTAGAGGAAATTTTACTTCGTGCGAATAAAATTCATTTTGTAGTAGAATGTTTCTCTTGTTTCACATCCAATTTATCAATTCATTTTGAAGTTGTTAGATAGTTGATAATAAACAGATAATGTTAATATACGTTTGTGAAACTAACTATATCGACCGGTTATTGTAGCGTATATCAAAAGATTCCTACTCTTTTTAATGCAACGGCTACACGTTCATGTTCAATGTTCAATCCGCCAATCTCAAAAAAGGATGGAAAGGAAAAAACAGCTTACATGGGACAATTAGTTTATAATGGTATTTGAATAGTATATATAAAAAGGATTAAATTGTAAGCGCACATTTATGTATTTTGCTGCTTAACGGAAATGTTTAATATACTTTAAATGTGTTGCTCAAATCTCGGTGGGAATAAAGATTTGCTTGTAAATTAGGCAATAGAAAAAAACTTATTAGAATCGTAACTACTGTAAAAATTTCATTGTTGTTGTTTTCGTTAAGTCTCCTTCTTTTTAAAGAGGAAAAGAGGAAATAAAATTACTTTTTCTTTTTAATTCAACTCTGCATTTTTTGCTTACCGAAGAAGTGCTGATTTAGGTTTTAAAATGACTACGTGAAGTTTTGTTGTTGCTTTTTGTTTGAACGTGATCGTCCTGTTTGCTTTTTCCTCATCCATCCTTTTCTTTTGCATTTTGTTTGTTCCATTCTTTGCCATCTTTCCAAATTTGTTTCTTCTTTCTCTTTCGTACCACATATTGAACAGTTGAATATATATATATATATATATATATATATATATATATATATACGTATATATATATATCGCTGTTGCTTGTTTTTCAGTTATTCACTTTTGTGATTCTGCGGTTTTCGGTTGAGTTTTTTGGATCTTGAGTTCTTCATATTTTTACACATACATATATTCATATAATATAAGGATTTGATGAAACCTGCTGTTATTGCTTTATACTTCGGCTCAAATGATTAACTGAACACTAGGGTAATTATGATTGAATGAGGTGAAAATTTAGACCGTCAATGAATATATGTTTAAATACCAGCATCGAATAGATTATACTATAATGGAGATTTATTATATACTGATAATTTTAATAGTTTGTGATAAAACAAAGAATAAAAACTCTGCTAGCAGAAAAGGTGATTATTTTATGCAAATGAGTTAAAGATGAATTTATATTCCTGTTAACAATTCATTTGTATCTATAGAAAGGAGGTTTCTTTCATGATGAAGAACATTTCGCTTTCTGTAGACGTCAACACGTCATTTTTTCATTGATTGATACTTGTAATTTCCCGTTGTTATACCGGATTGAACTGATTAACCTTTGTCAGTATATAAACTTCTACACATGTCCCTCTATCTTACCCGAAGATCCATTAGTTTATAATTTGTATGACAGTGACCAGTTTTGGGATTCAGGATGTGCGTTTCATTCTGTTTGAGATATGCCGGTATCCTAGTGACGGGACTCGAGCCTGAGGCCCATCGCATCAAATATCATATCATTTTCTCATCGTAGAGGAAGTAACGCTTATCCAGCTACACGTGTACAGACCTATCGTAGAAGTTCTAAAGATTCACCAGTAATAATTGCCAAAAACAGATATGAAGTATACTTACTTTATGATAAAGGAATGTTATAGAAATTTTTTAAACGTTTATTTTAACAAATTATGAAATACAGATTCCACACCTTAGTTTATATGACACAGCACTACTGCGATCAAATTATTTCCAGTATGTAACGGTGAGTAATTGGTTATTTCGCTGGAGTGAAGTTCAGACTATCTTAATATCTGTAAACCGGAAATTCTCTTCCATTCAGTGTAAGTGGACATATTTTGCAAATTTCAAGTGTTATTTTATTCATACTTAATTTATACTATGGTATACCATGTCTAACTTTTCTTTGATAAGTTACTAAACGCTTGCAAATGGTATGTTTAGCTGTTAAAGTTGTTTGACTTAAATGTCAAAGGAAATTATTGTTTGAAAACTTTCAGTTTACCTTCATATTGTATCTCTCGTTACAGTTTAATTCACACTCTCTTTATACCTACATGACTAAGTAGGCAAATCAATTTTACAAGAATCATTAGGTAATATCAGAGTGCTCGCTTCAGTTAATAGATGCAAACATACTTATCAATATTATTCATGTACAATATCATCCACTTGTCATCATTACATCCATTCCTTTCTATTACTCTATTTTAAATGAAAATCCTAATGTTTTCTTTCTACTTGGCTTATAGAAGCACTCCAAAGTCTGTATACTATCCAGGTTGAGTTGATAAATAAGAAAAACTTTTGTGTTACAGATAATATTGTCTAGTTATTAGACCCTACTTCTTTGGTATACAATGCTGAAGATATGAAAAGCTTCGTTACTTACTATAAGATAAGATTAAGTAATTTCGGTTACTGTATGGAGACAATTACAGGTTATGACAGTTGCTCATTCTTTGTGGTTATGATCCCAGTAGTGTGAAGTGATTATGTTTTCCGTACAATTTTCAGACTCTTATCTGTGTATTTGAGGGGTTTGTGAGGATTTACATGTATTTCAAGTTGGTATTCATCGTAAACTGGCATCAGTTGGAGGAATAATGGAAACCTGGGAGCACTGGACATCTGTTTCGTCCTAGTATGTGTAAGTATCTTCAAGCATTGATGATTAACTATCAGCTAGTAATTATACGAAAACAAAATCTGAAAAATTCATATAAAATTTAACTTACCAGCATGTCTGACTAACTCACTAATCTTGATCGACAATGTACTGTACTGTCCATTGACTGTTTGTCGAGGTCATTAGATGTGTTTTACTCAGTAGAAATACAATAACTTAAGGAATATACACATGTACTGAACAGTGATACTGCTTGATAAACTCTTCAGTTAACATACTTTTGATGTTAATCATAATCTGTTTGTTAGTAATGCTAAAAATCTTGGGAAAACTAAAAATATGGTAAAATCAATTTCCTAGAAGAGATTATTCATCATAAAGTTATTCTGCTATAAAGCTGTTGAATTACTGTACGTGGATTTTGTTGTTTTTTATACCTTAGGAGTTTTTTAGAATAATTATGTGTATGGTATGTTGTATTGTGTAATAAGATTGCCCAGATCCTTACAAAAATCCTTGAATCCCTGAAGCTCTTCATAACCAATGATTTTGCTTTGAAATTTTAAGAAAAGGTACGTGATATACCTGTAAATACCAAGTTGGTTGATGAGGCAAAATCAGTAGGGGACATATCTTTCAGGAGGTTCCGGAAATAAAGAAGGCCACTGTAAATATACATAAATCTTTGTGTTTGTATATAGTTTAACGCTGCTATACATCAGTTGAATTATTCTCTTTTCTGTTTTCTAAGTAACTGAGCGAGCATCAAGGATAGAACCTAAAGGTCATTTTTCAAGTGTCTGTATATATATATATATATATATATATATATATATATATATATATATATATATATATATATATATATATATATATATATATATATATATATATGGTACGGGTTCAAATGTCAAAAGAAATCAGTTCCCTTGAAGTTGTAGATACGCCTTGCTGACGAGTACTAATAACCATGAAATCTAGGCTAATCAGGGTTTTCTTGCAATCGCCTTCAGCCATTTAACATCTACCAAAGTGCACCACAACGATGTATCTGTCAACTTGCTAGTCAATTTGCTACTCAGTGATTGATCAGTTTATCTAGTCGAGTCCTAAAGGAGGTCAGCTATGGCCCAAATAAATCAGTGGTAAGTCTCCTAGCTGCAGAAATAGGTGGTGCGGGTTCGAATCTCAGAGGGGGCACCAGTCCCCTCGAGGCTGTAGATACGTCTTGCTGATGATTGTCAGTAAACGTAAAACCTAGTTCAAGCAGGGTCTTCTGAACGCATTGGGCAGAAGTATGAGTATGTTTGCCTTACTATAAACTATGTTTGTTCTTTCCGTTTAAGAGTTGCAACTGAGTTGAATCGCTATAAACTGTCTAGGTCTCTCACTCTGCAGACCTTCCAGATTTCGCCAGCGCATCGAAATTAGTGGGAATATGAATAAACTATTCAGAACTGTGGTAT